ACCAAATTTAAGTCAAAAGAGCCCATTAAGTATGATTTTCATGTCATTATACAATTTTGTGTCCTCGTTCAGCACACATACAGGTTTATGAGGACTATCAATAGGTGTAATGTATTTTATACAGTAAAAAATGTGCTTTTATGACCTAATCCTAACCCAGATCTCAAACCTCACAGGAAACCAGTACCAAATTTAAGTCAAAATAACTTAAGTAGGATTTTCATGTCATTATACAACTTTGTGTCCTCGTTAAGCACATAAACACGCACAGACACACATTTACGAGGACTCTCAATAGGCATAATGTGTTTTCTACTGTAAAAATGTGCTTATTGTGGCCTAACCCTTACCCCAACCCTCACTGGAAACCTGTACCAAATTTAAGCCAAAAGACCCTTAAAGTATGATTTTCATGTTGGTATACAATTTTGTGGCTTCGTAAAGCACATAAACACACACACAGGTTTACAAGGACTTTCAATAGGCGTAATGAATTTTATACTGTAATAAATGTGCTTATTATGGCCTATCCCCAACCCTCACCTGTACCAAATTTAAGTCAAAGGAGCCCATTAAGTATTTTCATGTCATTATAAATTTCCGTGTCCTTGTAAAGCACATGAACACGCACACACAGAAACTGACACACAGGTTTACAAAGACTTTCAATAGGTGTAATGTTTTATACCGTAAAAATGTGCTCATTATAACCTAACCCCAAATGTAAGTTAAAAGACCCCTTTAAGTATGAGTTTCATGTCATTATACTATTTTGTGTCCTCGTTAAGCATATAAACACACAGACACACAGGTTTACGAGGACTTAATGTGATTTATACTGTGAAAAATGTGCGTATTATTGCCTAGCCCTAAACCTTACAGCAAACCTGTACCAAATTCAAAGTCAAAAGACCCCATTATGTATGATTTTTATCTCATTATACCATGTCATTATATAATTTTGTGTCCTCGTAAAGCACATAATAAGACACACACACACACACACAAATCCTCTGTATAATTTTTATCTTTTCGTTTCAAATCAAACATTGCTTAATATCAAAGATGAGTCACTCATGAAACCTGCTAATCAGTGTATTTGTGCATGAGATGCTATGCAGTCCATAAACAAACCGTATGTTTACATATATTATAATTAACACATAATTACACATGTTCATACAGCATATTTAATTGCATTCATTTGGCCGGGTACCTTTTTTAAATTTTTTTTTTCATATTTTAAATAAAAGGTAGGTTGTTCTTAATCAAAGGACTACAGTTGATAATTTTAGTCACATGGAGACCTGGCAGGGGAAAAACAATGAACCATAATGGCAGCTACAATGGGATCTTCATAGAAATGCAGCACAAACCGGTCAAATTTCCATATGTTTCTAGCTACAAATAATTGTTTTGCATATCGACAGAACAAAACCAAGATATGATTACAAACTGTAAATTGTGGACAATTGCAGCCATATTTGAGTCATTTAAAACTGCCATGTCCCTGTCAGAGCTACAATTCAGCGATGTTTACATTTATCTTGTGGATATTCCTCCGAAATGTAATTATTGGTGATGCCGTTATAGCATGCAAATGCCTGCTTTTATATTTGATGTCCCTTTCTTATGCTTATATTAATATTTGCACTTAAGATTCATACTTTTTATACTTGCATTTCAATTCAAACTGTATTTTACTTAAATTAGAATGGAAACTGTATAAAAAGTATATAAGTGTATTGATCGATACAGTACAGCTGGGAAAATAAGTTTTGAACATGTCATGTTTTTTCCTGGGAATAATTTTTCTAATGCAGTTGTTGACATGGAATTGAACCAGATTTTGGTAAAAACACAAATAATACTAATATAAAAATAAAACAAAACAAATCTGGAAAAAAATGTGTTATTTTTGGATCAGTGTCTTGCTGAAATGGTTTCATCTTCATCATCCTGCTAACGTAGATGCTGGACTGAAGCAGCTGATATTCATTTACAATGAGGAAGGACAGAGGGTTGCTAAATAACATCTGAGAGATTGCAGCTGCTGTCTGGGCGTTCCATGTCTTTCTACACCTCCCTTTCTTCATGTGTTCAATACTTTTTTTCCTGGTGTCATTTAGTTTTATTACACAACTTAAATTGAACTAGATTGTTTTCTTTTCATGAAAGGATTTCTTTGGTTGCTACCAACATTCGGGGAACATTTTAAGATAACAACACCTTTCAAATATGCTTTCTGAGAAAAATACAACACAGGCTCATTCTGAAAACATAGTGGACGTTTCTGGAGACTGCGGCATTTGAAATTGAAAAACACGGTAAAAATCAGACGATAGCTTTTCTTTTTCTAAATGGCTTTTGTAAATTCTTGATTGGGTTTTGGGAAGTAAGTGGGTGGGTCAGTCAATTAGCAGATCGCTAGGGCCAGACGAAATCTGCGGACGTTTTTTGCTATTTCTGTGGAGAATTTTGGTAAAAGTCTGCAGATTTCTGCAGAATTATTTTGGGAGTATCATAACTAAAACCTTAATATATGAAATAAAAAATAATATCTTTTAAACTTTTATTTAATGATTAAAATGCAAGCCCAATTAGATTCACTTTATTTGGTAAATAAAGAAAGTCTCTCATATAATAGATCTAGTAAATGACTTTAAAGGACTTTACACACTGCATTGTAAATAAATCAGATGAACATTTTCACATTAGTCAATAATATTACTAAAATTAATTTAAAAACTGAATAAAGATTTACACACATTTACTCAAATAAATAGAATTAAAGATGGGCTAAAAATCTGCAGAAAATCTGTGGAAAATCTGCGAAACTGTGTGCACACAGATTCCGGGTGGGCCTACCTATCGCACAGGCAATCATTCAGTCAGTCAGACAGTCGGTCGTTTGACAGCGTCCTCTAGTGGGTTTACGCGAGAACATCGTGGGCGCGAACGGCACTTGTGAGAGACATTTGAGATACAAAAAAGCGCACAGCGGGCTCTCGTGGATTTGCGAAAACAAAAACTGCAAAAATACGTACCTCTCAGGATGTATTTCGCGGTCTCCAGAAACGTCCACGAGACGAGTTTTCAGAATGAGCCTGCTTTGGAAAAATAGTGACGTGTTGAATACTTATTTTCCCTGCTGTGTAAGTAAAATAGATCGTTTTGGGTCAATAATGCTACTTTTTGGCAACAAATCCATAAATTTAAATATATAAAATAAAAATGATGTGACGTCACATGAAAATTCTCAATATGCCTCAACATTTGCTTGTACGTCTTTCGTATTAACTGAAAAATTGCATAATTGTTAGTGAATTGGATTAGCTGGCTGTAATTAAGACTTTATTATTTGGTGTTAATGTACTTACATATTAAACTGGGAAAAAAAGGAGAGCCAATACACCTCGTAATACGATGAGAACTGAAAAATCCATTTATAGATATGAATCAAAACAAGATGGATGTTCTAAAAACAACACAAATAAATGAACTCATTTCAGAGGATGGACTGTTGCCAGGAAACCCTCTTCAGATGATGGTTTCTGCCAAAAGCAGCCGCTGATTGTGATGTATTTAAATATACATTTCGTAATACGCTTTGATGGAGGCCAGCAGATAAATCATCTCCAATTATAAAAAGCACCTTATATAAGAACAATTCATCAATCGCATAAAACACAGCAGAACTGAATCTGTTTACTCATGCACTCCTGAAAAGGCTGTAGGAGGGAGAGTGTGTCTGTGTGTTTTAGAAGCGTGCGTGTGTGTGTGTGTGTAGGACAGCGCGTTTGAAACGTACTGTACATACTCATAGCTGTCCCCAAGAGGCCCGCCTTTGTCCAAAACTGCAGTTCTAAAAGAATTCTCTCCTAAAAGACCCCCATCAGTTCAATGAAGCGGTAAGAGCGGGACAAAATAATTCAAGAAAACAGCTACTGTCTGGAGATAGCACTCATCTTTCCCCCCAGGTGGACTCCAGTGTCTGAAAAGACCAGAACTGTGAGTGCTCGTGTAGAGGAGGTGAACCAAATAATGGAAACACCACAATGATAAATAATAAAACATCTTAACCATATTTAAACCAAATCTATAAATGCTGCTGTAAAGTCAGCTATGTTTCTAGACAAATTCTTTCAACAAATTTGTAATAAATGAAGCTAAATAGTACCCAAAATGCATGAATGTCAGCTGTGTAATCTGTTAAATTATACAAAGAAGAGGAAATCCATCTACTTATTTTAGGGTACTCTTCCAGATGTAAAATAAATTTATTAAAATTATATATATATATATATATATATATATATATATATATATATATATATATATATATATATATATATATATATATATATATATATATCTATGTATCTATCTATATATATATATATATATATATATATATATATATATATATATATATATATATATATATATATATATATATATATATATATATATATATATATATATATATATATATATATATATATATATATATATATATATATATATATATATATATATATATATATATATATATATATATATATATATATATATATATATATATATAAACTCATTAAGGCTTAAACCGCATGAATAAGAATACATAATGAGGAGATTTTCATTTTTGGGTGAATTATCCCTTTAAAAAACTGTAAACAAGATATAATACATTTCTAGATATAATACATTTGCAATACAACAGCTTGCTTTTGTGCAGGGTCTCTTTTGTGATGGTAAGCCAAGAATCTCATCAATCCTTCAGAATGACTCTGCTATAGTATCTCAGATAACTCTAAAATGCTAAAATACTGTCTTCACTGTTAGAAACCTATTGGCTGGTTACTTCTTGAGATTACATCATAAGAACCCTAAC